AAGAACCATATGATCCTTTCAATAGATGCAGAGAAGCATTTGACAAAATACAGCATCCATTCCTCATCAAAACTCTTCAGAGTGCAGGCATAGAGAGAATGTTCCTCAGGATCTTAAAAGCCATCTATGAAAAGCCCACAGCAAATATCATTTTCGATGGGGAAAATTGAGAGCTTTTCCCCTAAGATTAGGAACATGACAGGGATGTCCACTCTCACCACTGCTATTCAACATAGTACTAGAAATGCTAGCCTCATCAATCAGGCAACAAAAAGAAATAAAAGGCATTCAAATTGGCAAAGGAGAAGTCAAACTCTCTCTCTTTGCAATTGACATGATACTGTACATAGAAAACCCAAAAGACTTCACCCCAAAATTGCTAGAACTCATACAGCAATTCAGCAATGTGGCAGGATACAAAATCAATGTCCAGAAATCAGTGGCATTTCTATACACTAACAATGAGACTGAAGAGAGAGAAATTAAGGAGTCTATCCCATATACAATTGCACCCAAAATCATAAGATACCTAGGAATAAACCTAACTAAAGAGGTAAAGCATACATACCCAAAAAAACTACAGAACTCTTCAGTGAGGAAGATACGAAGACGGAAAAATATTCCATGCTCATGGATTGGAAGAATTAATATTGTGAAAATGTCTATACTACCCAGAGAAATTTATACATTCAATGCAATCCCTATTAAAATACCATGGACTTTCTTCAGAGAGTTGGAACAAATAATCTTAAGATTTGTGTGGAATCAAAAAAGACCTTGATTAGCCAGGAGAATATTGAAAAACCAGAGCCGGGGGCATCATAATGCCAGATTTCAAGTTGTATTACAAAGCTGTGATCATCAAGACGGTGTGATACTGGCACAAGAACAGACACATAGATTAATGGAACAGAATGGAGAACCCAGAAGTGGGTACTCAATTAATATTGACAAAATATTATGGTCAACTAATATTTGACAAAGCCAGAAAGATTATCTACTGGATAAAGGACAGTCTCTTCAATAAATGGTGCTGGGAAAATTGGACAGCCACCTACAGAAGAATGAAACTGGACCTCTCTTACACCATACACAAAGATAAACTCAAAATGGATGAAAGATCTAAATGTGAGACAAGAATCCATCAAAATCCTAGAAGAGAACACAGGCAACACCAGTTTTGAACTTGGCCATGGCAACTTCTTGCAAGATACATCTATGAAGGCAAGGGAAACAAAAGCAAAAATGAACTATTGAGACTTAAGACAAAAAGCTTCTGTACAGCAAAAGAAACAGTCAAAAAAACTAAAAGACAACCTACAGAATGGGAGAAGATATTTGCAAATGACATATCAGATAAAGGGCTAGTATCCAAGATCTATAGAGAACTTACTAAATTCAACACCCAAGAAACAAACAATCCAATTATGAAATGGACAGAAGATATGAACAGAAATTTCACCAAAGAAGACATACGCATGGCCAACAAGCACATGAGAAAACGCTCAGCATCACTTGCCATCAGGGAAATACGAATCAAAGCAACAATGAGATATCACCTCTTACCAGTGAGAATGGTAAAAATTAATAAGACAAGAAACAAATTTTGGAGAGGATGTGGAGAAAGGGGAACCCTTTTGAACTGTTGGTGGGAATGTGAACTGGTATAGCCACTCTGGAAAATAGTGTGGAGGTTCCTTAAAGAGTTAAAAATAGAGCTACCATATGACCCAGGAATTGCACTACGGGGGATTTACCCCAAAGATACAGGTGCAGTGAAAAGCTGAGACACTTGCACCCCAATGTTTATAGCAGCAATGTCTACAATAGCCAAACTGTGGAAGAGGTCTCGGTGTCCATTGAAAGATGAATGGATAAAGAAGATGTGGTTCATGTATACAATGGAATATTACTCAGCCATTAGAAATGACAAATACCCACCATTTGCTTCGACATGGATGGATCTGGAGGATCTTATACTGAGTGAAGTAAGTCAATCCGAGTAGGACAATCATTATATGGTTTCCCTTTACAAGGAATATAAAAAATAGTGAAGAATTACAGGAGAAAGGAGAGAAAATGAGTGGGGTAAATCAGGGAGGGTGACGAAACATGAGAGACTCCTAACTCTGGGAAACGAGTGTAATGGGAGGTGGGCAGGGGGAATCAGGTGACAGGCACTGAGGGGGGCACTTGATGGGATGAGCACTGGGTGTTATACTATATGTTGGCAAATCGAACTCCAATAAAAAAATATACAAAAAAAGATAACAAACGCAGTCCAATTTATTTGATTTCCAAACAAGTTGAAATTATTAAGGTCTCATAACTTCATAAAGACGTCAAGGTTTATTAATCAGTTTATCAAGCAAAGAGTACTAACGTCCACCCAGCAACTAAAGAGCTTGTAAAGATGAAGTTGCAAATGCATTATATTTCAGCTGTGGGGAAACTTCCCCAGGTATTCAAGGGCATATACAACAGTTTCTGTCTTGAGCTGATTGTTAAATAATGATGTCTTATGTTTGATACATAATTTGGTATCTTTTTAAAGGTAATTTGGAGTACAAAATTCTGAATAAAAAGATACAAAAACATGATGGTACACAACAAAATATATGGGATACTTGTGTGTGATACACAACTTTAGATCTTGCTCCATCCTTTATATCCATCAAATTCTTCACTATTTCTATTTTCTTAAGATGGTTTAGAAGATGGATGAGTACCCTTGGTTACCTCCTTTGGATGTTTTAGAGGGGGTTAGAATATGCAAGGAGACAGTCACTGGCAACAGAAAAGTCATTGGTTATTGTTAATGTGCTCTTTCAAGTGTGTAATCAAGAACACACAAACCCTATGTATGGAATCAATTAGCGCATGTACCTGGACCAAATTTATACTAGTTGCCAAGACTCGTTTTCCACATAGACCAAAATTATTCATAAACCAGCATACATCTATAAAGAGAAGTGTACACTCAGCCAGGAGAATGAGGGGAATGAGGATTTGCATGTGCAAATCCTAAGTAGGAACATCCCTTCATACATTTGTAATAATTAAGAGGGAGCGTTTTTGCCTTCATTTATTTTCCTGGCACCTGACAGGGGTAGAGTTGCTGACCATAGTTCTGTTACTCTTGTTCAAGCAGATAATCCATTGTAGATCCACAGGAAACATTGCCGTGAACATTGCAAAGGGAAGAATCAGGTAAATGCAATTTAGAGGATGAATTAAACAGTTTGCGATTGAGTATGGAAACTCTGGGCCACTTCTTCAGTGGGTAGCTTTTTAAGTTGTGTTAAGGTAGAAAAAGGCTTCTTAAAAACCATTTTATTCATTAGAGGCTTGAGAGCTTTTTCTTCTGTGCCTTATAGGTCAAATTATCCCAGAGTAGGGTGGAAGACAGTTACCATGTGCTTATTTGAGTGAACAGCAAGAATGTCAAACATTTTTCTATATGCTTCTCCTGAAATACACTGTTTTGTAACCTAAGCCTTTCTAAACTATCTTAAATAGAGTCATTAGACTATTAAAAGTTTTATGTACTTGAACTCAACCTGAGTTACATGTCTACCAGGAGTTCCTGACTTGGGAATACTTGCCTGGATATTTCTCTTTCTTGTCCTCCATTGCCATTTTATGCCTTTTATTTCTGTATAAATTTGTGATTTAAAATTTTTAGTAAGGATGGACACCTAAGGAATGATAACTTGTAAGAGATAGCCTCCAAAATAACCAATCCCATTTGTGCAACATTCGTTGTCTATTCATCCTATTCTTCTAATGGGTTATTGCTTTCTTTTAAATACTGTTTCTCTTATGTAGTGTTTCAACCCAGTTTTAGTGCCATCTGGCCAAGGCTATCCTGACTTAAGTGTTTAGATTTATGTGCATTTTATGTTTTCTTTTTAAGAAGTCATAGGGCCTATAATTAAATCACTTTTAAAATCTTAAAGTAATTACAGTGTTCGGATTATTGCCCATATAGAAATATCTCCTACCAAGTCTCTCTCATTTTGTGACAGTTCTATACACTAGCTCACAGACTCACAACTACTTTCTCACTGTTGTGGGTATTTTTTTTTTCAGAATTTAAGTTTACCTACAGCAACTAATAATTACATTAATTACAATAACTACATTTCTCTTTTTTTAAATATCCAGAGTCTGCAATGTGTGCATGGATGCAAAAATAAACAAGTTAGGCCCGTTTCCCCTACTGCACGAACTTTCTGTCACTGACCAAACTCTTAAAAGGGAGTCAGGTTTCTTATCTGGGGTCCATAGAGGAGTTTCAGAGGGTATTCTGTCGGTGCCCTGAAATTCAGTGTAAATGCGTCCTATGTGAGAGTGTATATGGATTTATTAGTATATCAACTCACTACATGGCTGTGTGACTTTGAACAGGTTACTTAACTTCTCTCTGCTTTAATATTCTCAAAATTGCAGAAATAATCTTATAGGGCTGAAGTGAGGATTAAATGTGAGGATTTTATGGGCATGTAAAACCCATAGTACTGTGACAGGCATTCACTAAAGATTAGTAATTACCACTGTGTTCTCAAAAGAGTTAGTAACGACCATAGAGATAAAAGTGACTTAAGGTATTTTGAGAATTACACTTTAAGGAGAAATACCAGTTCCTGAGTTGGGAAGTCACACTCAAACCTAATTCTCATAGAACTATTCATTAGCAAAACAGTGATGCATATTCATAATGAGTCGGAAAGGTCTGGGAAATAGGTCTAAAAATGTGGAAGGCCCATTTGTGTTGCTCCTGGATGGGAGAAAAAGCATTTACCTGGTTCTGGGCTAGTCCCCAGATGAAATACTTTCAGTCAGCTCCTAACCACTGTGCCATCTAAGCTTGCCTTGAAGCCCTGAAATAAATGTGCGGGGTGATAGTTTAAATTGCAAATCTACATTTGTGGATGCTTTCTCAGCATTATCTTGTCAGCATGTAGAAGTCAAAAGTTACAAAAACAACGAGATTCTGCATCTTTTAATGAAAGATAAAACAACAATATAAACATACACAAATTTACAGAGAAGGGATCAACTTTAATACATTTGGAGTAAAAGGTGTTTCTTATTTAAATATGGTATAAAAATAAATGCAAGAAACATCAACCGAGAATGTACAGACAACAGACAAAGACATGAGCTTGTTTCTGACTATGAACACATTGGTGAAAATGAAACTTTCTGTGCTAATTTATTGTTTAATAAATGTGAAGCCATATGTATACTTATTGATATATGTTTTTTTCTTTTACAATTCTTCCAGTTTTTGACAGTGAATTTTCAGTGAACTGTGTGTCTAGCAGAAGTTTTAAGAGCAAGAGAAAGAAAAAAAAAAGGTTTACTTCACTCGAACTCATCAAAAAGGAAAAGACACAGATCCAGCTTAATACAAGGAGAAAGTAAGCAGACAACATTTTGAAATGGAGGCATTGAGATGGTAGAGTCACTTGGAATGGCAATGCCTTAATGTACACAAAGAGAACAATTCAGGTCCTTTGCTCATGCAACATCTTGGTCTAATGTCCTCTGCTCCAGGTAACAACAAAGAGCTACAAAGTATATGCAATGACTCCAGTCTGCTTCCATGCTACAAGATGATCCTTTTAGTAAGACTGAACGAGGCTTGTTAACCTCTTTGAGGTGAGAGATTTCCCCTGAGAAAAAGAATATAAAACAAAGGGGGAAAAAAAACAGAGTATGATCACTGAAAACCTGCTTATGAGTAGCATTTATTTATTGCAGCTGAGTTTTGTGCACAGGTAAAAACAAAACTCTTTAAGTACATCTTAGTTCAAACTTTCTCTTAGTTCAAACACATTAAACAAAATGACTTCCACCCGCCCACCCCTCTACCCACTTCCTCCCCACTGCAAACAGACTGATGGGTTCACAGCACAGATTAGCAAATAATAAAACATGTCCATAAACATTTCATCAAGGCTTAGCAATGATGCAACACCTAGATTTGCAACTGGTTATAAACATGTTAAAACAAACCTTAGTAAACTGCTCTAAAAGGTAGCAATGTGAATGCATTCTAGTTCAATTGCTGGAATTAGTGTCATGTTTATAAATATCTAGTTATGCAGAAAATATTATTTTAATTAAACAGAATTCATTTTTAGAGGTGTAATTGATAGAAATTCAAGATTGGGCTTGTCCTCCATCCTATGTGGTAATGGAGAAAATAATGCCAATTATACATCTACAGATAAAATTCTATTTGTTCTCTACTTCAAACCATAGACATCTCCCTATCTTTTTCCACCTGATTTCCTCCAACCCCAACCCCAGAAAAATTCCATATATTCTGATTCCATATATTGTGTTAATACCTAGAGTACATATTCACTCTTTTGAAATCTTGAAAGCTGACATTGTCGCTGTTAATACTAGTACTCTGGAGAGAAAAAAATTTGATTTCTGATCAGGGTTGCAGATCCTCAATTTGTGGTTTCTGTTTCATAGCTCATATTATACATTCTAGTAATAAAAGTAAGATGGTCATCCACATATTTGAATGGAATTTGTCTTTCTGAGTGGATAAAATAATAAGGTAAAGCCAAGAGATTTTTTGAGAAATATAATATTTTATTAATAAATTAGTCATAACAATAGTCTTGATTCACTACCTAATATGAGAGTTTGATAAAAGGGAATGTGGTATTGGAAAGAGATGATCACTCATGGCCATGTTTTGGGAAGAGAGCAATATGTTTAAGAAGTGATCAATAATTTCAAAATCAAGCTTTCTTTACACACTTCACAGTAACTGACAAGGGCCCTGTGGCTGACATGAATGGGAGCAATGAAAACCATGCACTATTTTCTTTTAATTGGGGAAAATGATTCAAAACTTAGCTTTTAGCAACAAATAGTAAAAGATGCCTCTCATTGCTGGCTATGCTTTAGACACTTTATGGAATAAAAAAAAAGCAGTTTGTTAACAAGACACCCTATTTTACATTATATATTGGCCTTATAAATAAGATATACTTTGCTCCTTCTTGCTACCTATCCTGTGCTTGTTTTCTCATTCATAAAATGAAGATAATCACAGTACCTACTAAAAGCTTTTTCTAAAGAATAATGAAACTAAATTGCTTAAAACTATTCTTGGAACATTCTATGTACTAAGTTTATGTTGGCTATTATCTCATTATACTATTACTATTATTGTTTTTATTGTTATATGCTTTCTCATTAGGATACTGACACCCAAAGTCACTATTCTGACTCTAAAAAGGCATAAAGTTGCTAATGAATTGGAATCTAAAATTATACTGCTTTTCCATCCCAAACCTGGACAATAGATTGATTAAATAATGTTGGAATCTAAAAGCTACCATCCTACATTTGAAGACCACACTATTTCCTACATTTACTACTGTGTTCATTTCTTGTGCTGTTAATATAAGTGTGTACATTTTATATATATTTCTTCTGAGAAATAGTAATGTATTTTTAAAAAGAGTTTACTGTTTCTAATGCCATTTGTGGGCTGGAGAAAATGCCATATTGGTTGAGGCGTAAAAGTGAATGCTTATATGGCAGAGGAGGAGGGGAAAGATGCTGATATAAAATTGTTATTTCTAAAACTGCAGATTAGTGTGATTTGTTAAAAACTATTGGGAAGAAGTGTGAAATAGTCATGTTGAAATAGTCATTTGAAATTCATATAATCATTTTTTGTTTGGACTGTGAAAACCAGTGTCATTTTTGTAAATCTAATAAATATTACCATGGCTCTCTTTCTACAGATTTTTGAAAATATCTTTGATGCTATTAGTACTTGGCCTGGTATGGGTTTCATTTAAAAGAGGGTGAGGTACAAGGTTAGCTTGACAGGCTGTTGTCCTAGGAGATAATTAAAAAATACTCATTCATGGAACTTCACAGAAAAGCACAGGCTTAGAGTCAACCTGGGGATTTATGATGATAGAAAAACAAATGAACAGAAATGGGAAACAGTCACACAATGAAACACTGTACGTGATAAGGACTGACCAAATATGTAATAAGGATATTTGTTATGTGCATTGAGAAAACTAAAGGGCAAATTTGGGTATAGCTAACAGTTTAAAAAAAATTACATGCCCCAGTCTAGGATCAAAGTAAAGAGCATGGGTGCCCATTAGTCATGTGGATTTGAAGATCTAGATCATTGGGATCTGTTCTGTAAATCCCGTGAAAAGCCTGCCTTATTTACATACTGGGGAAAAAATAGGCACTATTCTAGTGCACAAGGAAATACAATTGCTTACTTTATTGGCAAACCTTATATTAAAAAGAACACTGATCCTTTCTTGTAGTTAGGGAAGTGTGCATTTACATACCTGTTGTTTTGTAAAACTCCTTTTCAGTGTAGTTCCTTTGGAGGCTGTATGCAATCAGCCCCTGCCAATTAACTTTTCATAATTTTCCCAAGTTGAAGAATTTAAGAAATTTTTGTAGCTAGGTTCTAAAATCTTAATTCTGGAAACCGAGGGCTAAAAAAATCCTTACCAATTATTATTATTATTATTTTTTACTAAATTGCTTACAACTGAATTCTCTATGAATAGTATTTATTTTTAACCAAATCACTATATATGTGTTATGTTGTTTATACCTTCTCTTGTCAGATTCTAAAGAAAAAGGATTATATTGGAAACAGCAATCCATAGAGAAAGACAAAGACAGAAACTCGGAACAAAACAAGACAAAAATTCAAAATTCTATGAGATTTTGTAATATCCAGTTATTGGGCAAAAAGCTTAAAAAAAAGCAGCACATAATCAGTTTCAGGACAAAAATACAGCTCAGATTTTCTTGCATCTAAGTGAATGCAGAGCATCTACCTAATCTGCAATATAGTTATAAAAGCATATAAACAAAGAGAGTTTTCTGGTCTCTTACAGTAGAACTTCTTAAATGCTCCATAGAAATTTTATTATAGTTAGGAAAATATTCACCTCCCCCGACCAAAAAAAAAAAAAAAAAAGAAAAAGAAAAAAGAAAAAAAAAAGAAAGCCGCCAGAACAAGCAACCTATGTGTTTGTTTTTAACTCTTCCAAGGTAACTACCAATAGTTAAGAATTTTACATGATTTAGAAATTCTTGCTTTCTTTTTAATTTTATTTATTTATTTTATTTATTTATTCATGAGTAACACAGAGAGAGGCAGAGACACAAGCAGGCTCCATGCAGGGAGCCCAATGTGGGGATTCAATCCTGGGACTTCAGGATCATGCCCTGAGCTGAAGGCAGATGCTTAACCGCTGAGCCACCCATGCATTTCTAAAGTTTTTCTTGTTCTTATTAAATAGTAACAGAAAGTTGACAATAAGGAGCTGTGAGTCAGCAGAAACGAACATGAAAGCCAGGCTCTTCCTTCCAGTCTGAGAGCGTGGGGCACTAGGGAGATGAAGGCCACTCTCCATCCTCCTTTCCTGCAGACACTTATCCACAAAAGGAGTGGAGATAAGCTGGATTTTCTTGGGCGATTAAGACACTTGTTTTATTACTGTTGTAAAAACACACACATCAGTCTTTCCTGATCTATAGGACACCAAACAGAAACGAAGGGATAACATGTTTAGAAGAGGGCAGCCCTGGTGGTTTAGCAGTTTAGCGCTGCCTTCAGCCCAGGGTGTGATCCTGGAGACTCCGGATGGAGTCCCACCACGTTGGGATCAAGTCCCACCCACATCAGGCTCCCAGCCTGGAGCCTGCTTCTCTCTGTCTCTCTCTCTGTCTCTCTAATAAATAAATTAAAAAAAAGAAAGTTAAAAAAATGTTTAGAAGATAGTCAAAGAAAAGATTAAGGAGAAAAATAGGGGATTATCAGCATCTTTGGGATTAAAAAAATAGGTAACCTTTTAACTCTTGCACTCTCTTATAATTCCAACTTGTATGTTTCTTGTCCTTGCCTCCTAGTCTCTGTTTTGTGTTGCTGTAGACTCAGAAGTACATTCTAGAATGCCTGTAGGCTCCAGAGGCTCCAGAGGCCACAGACCAAGAACAGGAAAGTGCAAGTTTTGCCATCTCAGGGTCTGTTGTACGTGATCCAGTTGTCTGACCAGAGAGAGGCCCAGGCCCACTGCTACATGATAAGGTGCTGATTGTTTGGTGATAATATGATACTGCTGGACTAGAGATAGGGAGTGCAATTAGAGGCACTGAACTTAAGGATACTGTTTGTTCTTTTACTCTCATGTTGAAAATGCCCTGCTTCACTTATAAATACTATCGCCTTTGCCTGGATTCCAAAATCTAGCTTTCCTGGCTTTTCAAACTGCCTGTTGTCACTCCACAAAATGAATGATACTTTGGCCTTTGCACCTGATACTCTAACAGCTTGGTCACCTACCCATGTATCTATCTGTTCAGATTGTACTCACTTTTCAAAGGTGACCTTCTTATCCATGTCCTTGCTAGAGCCTTCTAACTGCCCCCTAAACTCCTCTGGTGATTCTCTCTGGACTGTCTTGCCCAGAGAATCAGACCTCACATATTTATAAGTCATTTTGTATAACTCATTAGGTCAACTGGCTTGGTGAAACAATCAACAGCTGTTAAACAACATTCACATTATAGAATCCCTCAATACATACTCGATTCTTTGCCTGAGCTGATTGAGTTCCTCGGCTGAAATTATATTTAAAAAATAAGC